CTTATATCCACTACCTACATTTGCCTGTTTCCACTCATCAGTTATTCATTACAATATGACTTTTGTTTCAAACACTTTCGGGAACTATTCTCTCAAATATTACCAAAACCTGAAAACTATGTCCCAAGCTTCTTCTTGATGATTTGACTTCTCTAAAGCACTTCAAACCAAAGGATTAGCCAGGGGACTCAACTGTAAGTTTTTCAAGATCCCTTCATTCAGTCATAAAATGTTTTTGAATTCACACTATTTGATGTAAAAGCTGAACAAGAGAAAGTTCTTGCCTTTGTATGTCACAGTTTAGTGAAGGAAAGTCAGGCAAATAGATAAAACATAATATAGGATAGTATGGTTGAACAGCTTGAGGGAGAATTAATGGTCTCATAGTTCATCAGAATGAGAAGGAATAAAGGAATGAAAGAATGTCTTTGTTTCTAAAGAAAGTAAATACAGCTTTGAATATCAGGACATCTAAGGCTTCCTGTATTAGTTTCTAAGAACTGCTCTAACAAAGTACCACAGACTAGATGGCTTAAAACAACAAAATTTATTTCCTTACAGTCTGAGAACCAGCAAAGTCGAAAATCAAGGTGTGTGGCAGGACCATTCCCTCCCTGAAAACTCCAGGAGATAATCTTTCCTTGCCTCTCTCTAGCTTTTGGTAGTTGCTGACAATTCTTGGTGCTCCTTGGTTTGCAGCTGTATACTCCAATCTCTGCCTCCACTGTCACACAGCCTTTTCCCTCTATATTTGTGTGTCTCCCTCTCCTCATAAGGACAGCAGCCATTGGATTTAAGGTCCACCCTAATCCAATATGACCTCATCTTCACTTTACTACATCTGCAAAGACCCTATTTCCCAGTAAGGTCACATTAACAGGTACTGGAGCTTTATCCTTGAACAAATCTTTTTAGGGGACACAATTCAACCCATTACATTTCCCACCTCCCAGACTACTTTTCCCAAGTCCAAGCATAGACAAAAAAAACAAGTGACCCTTCTAACATTACCTCCAAAAAAGGCACCTTCTCTAAGCCATAGGGCAAGTCATTGGTGACAGACCTACACCTTCATTCTCCTGAAAGGACTGTTACCTGCAAACATGTCAGGTTATGAAGAGACTTAAAGTGTTCAGTGAGTCTACAGGAGTGGAAATGTACTTGTCAGGGCTCTTTCAGTTGAGAAAGAAACCAAACTTAAACCAGCTGCATAAATGACATCATTGATAAACTGGATATCAAATACTACAAATTACTATCAATCTTATTTGGAGTAATAATGTTGTAGGTAAGCAAGAGAAAGCATTTATTTTAAGAAATGCATGCCAAAGTACCTAGGGGTGATGTGGCATGATATCAGCGACTTATCTTCACATGATCCAGGAAAAAAAAAAAAAGTACATACAGAAATAGAGAGAGAGAGAAATCAGGCAAATTGTTAACAACTGTTGAATTTAGGATGATCCTTGGATTATTCTTTTAACTTCTCTCTATGAAGGAAGCTTTTCAAAGTAAAAAGGTAATGGGGGAAAATGAAGACATATTTTAACTGGGACATACAGGCATAGGCCTCACTTCAAGAGAGATTTGAGCCAGGATTAAAAAGAAGTCAAAAGGGGAATGTATACTACATAGGTCTTTCATCTCCATACTTTTCTATATACAATATCCCTCTCCAGCAAGTTATCACTGAAAACAAGATGTTTCTCACAGTGCTCTTTCCCCAATTACCCTCTCTCTGAATGAGAGGCAGGAGGGTATCAGGAGGTTGGCACAGGTTCCCTAATCCAGTGAATGTACTAAATCGGAGAAGGGATTAACAGATTAAGGGTTGAGTAAATTAACTCGCTCTTCAATTTATCTTAACTCTTAACTCCCTTCTCATATATAGTGGGGAAGAAAATGAGAAACTATAGTAGAACAAATAAAGCACCAAATCAGTAACACAGAACGTCTTATATTCTACACAGTCTAAACATCATCCTCTGTTAAAGAGATTAGCTATCATAATAGAAGAGAAATAGGCATACACAGATCTTACCTGCCACAGGCTTGGCAGTAGAGAAGAAAGCCTGGAAAATAGGATATTCACCTAACAAAGGTGGAAGGAAGAAAGAAGACAGAGAGCAAAGCAGTGAGATGGGCCAGCAGCTAAACCACCATGTCCAGCATTGTCTCTAGGGATCTTAGCTCCCTAGCTATAGCCCTCAAGTATCTTCTGATGCTAGTTACAGCTGCTGAAAGTTATGAAGTACAAATAAATGACACTAAGGATCCTGGCCAGCTGGGAAAATACAGAATTCCTTTGAGCCCCAATAAGAAATGAAACCATTCATAGGTGAAATTTATTAATCATCACACAGCTCAAGAACTTCCCTCAAAAGAGTTAAGCACTTAAGGCTCTTTGTTGATTTGCACTGGTATCTTAAGTATGGCAATTACTATTCTACAGACTAACAGATGATGTGCTCTCCCTGAAGCTGTTTATTCAACCAAAAAATGAATAAAATGTAAATTGGAAAAATGTAGTCTTAAAGCTGCCTTTCATGAAGCCAAAAATAAATCTGTGAACAAACTTAGTTTTTAATTACTTAAAAAATATTGACCCCTTACAGATACAAAAAGAAACAAAATCATTATTTTAATTCGATTAAGAAATCAGGGAGAGAGAATTTGTTAGATGTATGGTATTCCTCCAATTATATATCTTCATAATTCAAATATGATTTCAAGGTACTCCATGGAGTATAAAAAACTAACAATTTTACTCATTTCAAGTTCACTTCACCAATTTTAATACTGTTAACATGATCTTTAAGAAAAAAAATTATTAATCTTTACAAACCAATTATTTTGGTACCTGAGGGAAAGACCATAGTTGACCAGTAAGTTTATGCCAAACAGTCTTAGGCATACACCTATTATAAAGTACAAGATTTGAATTACATGGCTATGAATGCAATCACTAAAGAAACAATTCAATTCAAAATTGCATCTAAAAGAATAAATACCTAGGAATAAACCTAACCAAAGAGGTAAAAGAACTATACCATGAAAACAACAAGACACTCATGAGAGAAATTAAAGAAGACACCAATAAATGGAAACACATGCCATGCTCATGGATAGGAAGAATTAATATTGTCAAAATGGCCATCCTGCCTAAAGTAATCTACAAATTCAATGCAATTCTTATCAAAATACCAACAGCATTCTTCAATGAACCAGAGAATATTGTTCTAAAATTCATATGGAACCACAAAAGACCCCGAATAGCCAAAGCAATCCTGAGAAGGAAGAATAAAGCTGGGGAGATTACACTCCTCAACATCAAGCTCTACTACAAAGCCAGAGTAATCAAGAAAATTTAGTACTGACACAAGAACATAACAACAGACCAATGGAACAGACTAGAGAGCCCAGATGTAAACCCAAGTATATATGGTCAATTAATATATGATAAAGGAGCTATGGACATACAATGGGGAAATGACAGCCTCTTCAACAACTGCTGTTGGCAAAACTGGACAGCTACATGCAAGAGAATGAAACTGGATTATTGTTTAACCCCATACATAAAAGTAAACTCCAAATGGATCAAAGACCTGAATGTAAGTCATGAAACCATAAAACTCTTAGAAGACAACATAGGCAAACATCTCCTGAATATAAGCATGAGCAACTTTTTCCTGAACCCATTTCCTCGAGAAAGGGAAACAAAAGCAAAAATGAACACATGGGACTACATCAAACTAAAAAGCTTCTGTACAGCAAGGGACACCATCAACAGAACAAAAAGGCATCCTACAGTATGGGAGAATATATTTGTAAATTACATATCGAACAAGGGGTTAACATCTAAAATATATAAAGAACTCACATACCTCAACACCCAAAAAGCAAATAACCCTATTAAAAAATGGGCAGAGGATATGAAAAGATAATTCTCCAAAGAAGAAATTCAGATAGCCAACAGGCACATAAAAAGATGCTCCACCTCAATAATTATCAGGGAAATGCAAATAAAAACCACAATGAGATATAACCTCACACCAGTTAGGATGGACAGCATTGAAAAGACTAAGAACAACAAATGCTGGCAAGGATGCGGAGAAAGGGAAGCCCTCCTACACTGCTGGTGGGAATGTAAAATAGTTCAACCATTGTGGAAACCAGTATGGAGGCTCCTCAAAAAAACCAAAAAGTAGAAATACCATTTGACCTAGGAATTCCACTCCTAGGAATTTACCCAAAGAATACAAGTTCTCAGATTCAAAAAGACATAGGCACCCCTATATTTATCACAGCACTATTTACAATAGCCAAGATATGGAGGCAACCTAAGTGTCCATAAGTAGATGAGTGGATAAAGAAAATGTGGTACATATACACAATGGAATATTATTCAGCCATAAGAAAGAAAGAAATCCTACCATTTACAACAACATGGAAGGAGCTGGAGGATATTATGCTCAGTGAAATAAGCCAGGCAGAGAAAGACAAATGATGTCCCTCACTTGTGGAGTATAACAACAAAGCAAAACTGAAGGAACAAAACAGCAGCAGACTTACAGACTTCAAGAAGGGATTAACGGTTACCAAAGGGGAGGGGTGTGGGAGGGAGAAAGGGATTGAGGGGTATTATGTTTAGTACACATGGTGCAGGGGGTCACGGGGAAGACAGTGTAGCACAGAGAAGGCAAATAGTGAATCAGTGGCAATTTATTACACTTATGGACAGTGACTGAAATGGGGTATGGGGAGAGTTCAATAATATGGGTGAATGTAGTAACCACATTGTTTTTTCATGTGAAACCTTCAAAAGAGTGTCTCTCAATAATACCTTAATAAAAAAAAATCTGAACTGCCAACAATCTTCAGATAGCACATCAACAATTTTCAAATACAACATACTCATTCTTAAAAATAATCAATTTAAACAATAAATACTGTACTATGACTGGTCAGGTATAAACCTGATCAATAAAAGACAGTCTTACCTGTATGAAGTGGATCTAACGTTGCTATTGCAGATGCTTCAGAGCAGTACTTTCCACTATAATTATCCCCATGATTAATTTCTTTAGTACATTCTTCAATAGGCAGAGGCTTTAAACTGCATATTCTGGGATGGCTTTGTGATTGGAGAAAGGTATTCCTATTTGTAGCAACCTAAAAGATATATGTATCTTCTGCAGAAATTAAATTTAATTCTCATATTTTTAAATAATAGATTCCTAATTTGAAAGTATGAGCTACCCCAGTTTCTCTATATCCAAATAGGAAATAGATATTTTAAAATAAATTAAAAATCTGGTTTTTATTGCTTATTAAACTAGTTTTAATAATCTTATAAAAGCTGAAAGACATAACAGAATGAAAATTATAATGTATTTTAACCAACGTATCAGAAGTTTTTAAATGAATAACAAAATGCCATTCTCAGAGTCAATTGCTTTTTCTTGCTAAATTTCTCAAAATTTAAATCTGCACTTAAATACTGTTCATTTATTAGCTGTGATAATGATACTATCATTGTGTTATTTTCTTAAAGAGTCCTATATTTTAGAGACAAATACTAAAATATTTACCAATGAAAACACATTCCTAGAATTTGCATCAAAATAATGAGCATGGAAGAACTACAGAGGAAGTTGTAGAGGTAAAAACAAACAAGATTAGTCATGAATTGACAACTATTGAGCTAAACAGTGGGTACATTTTGTGTATGAATTAGCTTTCTATTGCTGTTGTAACAAATTACCACACACTTTGTGACTTACCACAATGCAAACTTATCATTTTACAATTCTGTGAACTCTGACTTGGGTCTTACTAGGCTTAACTCTAGGTGATCTGCAGGACTGTATCACTTTCCTGGAGGCACTAAGGGAGAACACATTTCCGTGACTTTTCAAACTTGTAGAATTTACCCACATCACTTTTAAGGATCTTTGAGATTATGCTGGGTACACCCAGGTAATCCAGAATAACCTCCCCATCTCAGAGTCCTTAATATTAATCAACTAGTCAAAGTCCCCTTTGCTGTGTAAAGTAACATATTCACAGGTTCCAAGAATGAGGACATGGACATTTAGGGAGGACCATTCATCTGCCTACCACAGTATGCTACAGATTTTTTTAAAAGAATTACTCAAATAACACACACAGTTGTCATATCTCTATATTCATTAAAATAAATTTCAGAGGCATTCAAAAAATATATCTGAAAAAAAAATGTATCTGATAAGATTTTAAAGTAAGTTCTAGCAATAAACTAATGAAGGTCATCATTTTTTGAAACATTTTGATATAACTTTAACTGTACAGAAACATTCCAAAAATAACAAGAAGGCCCATATATCCTTTACACAGATTCATCATTTGTTTACATTTTGCTTCATTTTTGCTTTCCCTTCCTCTTTCCTTCCCTCCCTCCCTGTGTGTGTGCATGCCATAATATTACCTTTGGTAACCACGAATGCAAAACCTGCAAAAGTAGTAAGTAAGTACATATTTATCAATAATCACCCTAAATGTAAAAGGACTGAATGCACCAGTCAAAAGACACAGAGTAATAGAAAGGATAAAAAAGCAAGACCCTCTATATGCTGACTATAAGAGTCTCACCTCAAACCCAAAGACATACACAGACTAAAAGTCAAGGGATGGAGAAAGATATTTCATGCAAACAATAGAGAGAAAAAAGAAGGTGTTGCAGTACTTACATCAGACAAAATAGACCTCAAAACAAAGAGAGTAAGAAGAGTTAAAGAAGGACATTACATAATGATAAAGGAGTCAGTCCAACGAGAGGATATAACCATTATAAATATCAATGCAGCCAACAAAGGAGCACCTACATATGTGAAACAAATACTAACTGAATTAAAGGAAGAAATAGAATGCAATGCATTCATTTTAGGAGACTTCAACACACCACTCACTACAAAGGACAGATCAATCAGACAGAAAATAAGGAAAAACACTAGAACAGATGAAACTAACAGACATCTACAGAACTCTAGACCCAAAAGCAGCAGGATACACATTCTTCTCCAGTGCACATGGAACATTTTCCAGAATAGACCACATACTAGGCCACAAAAAGAGCCTCAGTAAATTAAAAAAGACTGAAATGCTGCCAACCAACTTCTCAGATCACAAATGCATAAAACTAGAAATAAATTCTACAACGAAAACAAAAAGCCTCACAAACACACAGAGGCTTAACAACATGCTCCTATATAATTAATGGATCAATGACCAAATTAAAGCAGAGATCAAGCAATATATGGAGACAAATGAAAACAACAGCACAACGCCCCAACTTCTGTGGGATGCAGCAAAGGCAGTTATGAGAGGAAAGTATATAGCGATCAGGCCTTTTAAAAGAAGGAAAAACAATCCCAAATGAATAGTCTAAATTCACAATTATTGAAAATGGAAAAAGAAGAACAAACAAGGCCCAAAATCAGCAGAAGGGACATAATAAAGATTAGAGAAGAAATAAATAAAATTGAGAAGAATAAAACAATAAAAAAAATTTAATGAGACCAAGAGCTGGTTCTTTGAGAAAATGAACAAAATAAATAAACCCCTAACCAGACTTATTAAGAGAAAAAGAGAATCTACACACATAACAAGAATGAGAAATGAGAAAGGAAAAATCACTACAGACACCACAGAAAAAACAAAGAATTATTAGAGAATACTATGAAAATCTATATGCTAACAAGATGGATAACCCAGAAGAAATGGACAACTTTCTAGAAAAATACAACTTTCCAACACTGACCAAGAAAGAAACAGAAAATCTAAACAGGCCAATTACCAGCAACGAAATTGAATCGCTAATCAAAAAACTACCCAAGAGCAAAACCCCTGATCCAGATGAATTCACCACTGAATTTTATCAGACATTTAGAGAAGACATAATACCCATTCTCCTTAAAGTTTTCCAAAAAATAGAAGAGAAGGGAATACTTTCAAACTCATTCTATGAAGCCTGCATCACTCTAATACCAAAACCAGGCGAAGACACCACAAAAAAAGAAAACTACAGACGAATATCCCTGATGAAGAATGATGCAAAAATAATCAACAAAATATTAGCAAACCGAATTCAAAAATACATCAAAAGGATCATACACCATGATCAAGCAGGATTCATCTCAGGGATGCAAGGATGGTACAACATTCGAAAATCCATAAACATCATCCACCACATCAACAAAAAGGACAAAAACCACATGATCATCTCCATAGATGCTGAAAAAGCATTCAACAAAATTCAACATCCATTCATGATAAAAACTCTCAACAAAATGGGCATAGAGGGCAAGTACCTCAACATAATAAAGGCCATATATGATAAACCCACAGCCAACATCATACTGAACAGTGAGAAGCTGAAAGCTTTTCCTCTGAGATCAGGTACAAGACAGGGATGCCCACTCTCCCCACTGTTATTCAACATAGTACTGGAGGTCCTAGCCACGGCAATCAGACAAAACAAAGAAATAAAAGGCATCCAGATTGGTAAGGAATAAGTCAAACTGTCACTGTTTGTAGAGGACATGGTATTGTACATCAAAAACCCTAAAGACTCCACTCCAAAACTACTAGAACTGATATCGGAATTCAGCAAAGTTGCAGGATACAAAATTAACACACAGAAATCTGTTGCATTCCTACACACTAATGATGAACTAGCAAAAAAGAGAAATCAGGAAAATAATTCCATTCACAATTGCATAAAAAAGAATAAAATCCCCAGGATAAACCTAACCAAGGAAGTGAAAGACCTATATCCTGAAAACTACAAGATACTCTTAAGAGAAATTAAAGAAGACACTAATAAATGGAAGTTCACCCCATGCTCTTGGATAGGAAGAATTAATATTGTCAAAATGGCCATCCTGCCTAAAGCAATCTACAGATTCAATGCAATCCCTATCAAAATATCAACAGCATTCTTCAACAAACTGGAACAAATAGTTCTAAAATTCATATGGAACCACAAAAGACCCCAAATAGGCAAAGCAATCCTGAGAAGGAAGAATAAAGCATGGGGGATTTTGCTTCCCAACTTCAAGCTCTACTACAAAGCCACAGTAATCAAGACAATTTGGTACTGGCACAAGAACAGACCCATAGACCAGTGGAACAGAATAGAGTCCAGATATTCACCCAAGCATATATGGTCAATTAATATACGATAAAGGAGCATGGATATACAATGGGTAAATGACAACCTATTCAACAGCTGATGTTGGCAAAACTGGAAAGCTACATGTAAAATAATGTAACTGAATTACTGTCTGACCCCATACACAAAAGTAAACTCAAAATGGATCAAAGACTTGTATGTATGTCATGAAACCATAAAACTTAGGAAAAAGCTTAGGCAAAAATCTCTTGGACATGAACATGAGAGACTTCTTCATGAACATATCTCCCCGGGCATGGGAAACAAAAGCAAAAATGAACAAGTGGGACTATATCAAACTAAAAAGCTTCTGTATAGCAAAGGACACCATCAGTAGAACAAAAAGACATCCTACAGTATGGGAGAATATATTCATAAATTACATATCTGATAAGGGGTTGACATCCAAATTATATAAAGAGCTCACACACCTCAACAAACAAAAAGCACAGAGAGGGCAGGTAGTGAATCTGTGGCATCCAGATGGTGACTGCATTGGGGTATTGGTGGGAACTTGATGGTATGGGTGAGTGTAGTGACCACATTGTATTTTCATGTTGAGACCTTCATTATAGTGTATATCAATAATATGTTAACAAAAAAAATTTTTTAATAATATTAATAATAATTAGGGGAGAAAGTGTTTTTTACTGTTACCACAACTTTATTTTATAGACCCAACTACATGTCAGTCATTTTTTAAATTATTATTTTATCATTATTCTAAGGTTTTTGGAAGAATTTTTTGGATATACGCTAATTCCTATAGGCAGTTAAGTATAGTTAAGTCCTTAAATGACATTTTTAAAAAATACATGGTTCTCAGATACTATGTACATTTTTATGCACTTTGTTTTTACCTGTTAATAATACATCTTGGCAATTCCTCTACATCAATAAAATACATATATATAGTTCTCTATATTATGCTTCCTTCACTTTTTTTTTTTTACCTCTAGTAATTTTCTATCTGTACTCAGCTTCATTGTGTCTTCACTTGGACTTGGATTACTTCTTCCTGGTGGTACAAATTTTAGTTTTTTTGAGGGATTCCCCTGCAACTGACTGGGTGCTGCAGATCGTCTCATATTCGGCAGCACTGACCTAAAAAATACCCAAAACAGAAATCATCCATGAGTCTGACAGAAGCATCTCCAAATATAAAAACAGCTTATGACCACAACCATATCTTTAAAAATATAAGAGAATACACCTGCAAAAAGACTTGGAAAACAAGTTCAAAAGATAGAAAGAGCTTATTTTGTTATTTTGATACTGTATATGAATTTTGATAATGATGATGTAGTCCTTAATGCAATTTAAATACTAGTTTTGAAATCAAAGGAAACAATTATTAACATAGATATATCAAGCTTGTTTGTTTTCTATTCCACTAATCCATAAACTGCATGAGGGTAGCAATTATACTTGTTTTCTTTCCCACTCTGTAAGTAGCACCAACCTCAATACCAGACACACTGCAAATCACTAACAATTATTAATGATTTCATTGAAAATTCTGGCAATTCAAAGGGCACATTCACTTCATTCATCAGAGTTGTGTACTTTTCCTCATATAGATATCATATATGCTTTGTGAGACTTATACCTAAGCATTTCATTTTTTGGGGTGGTAATTTAAATGGTTTTGTGCTTTTAATTTCATTGCCAGTAAACAGGAAAGCAATTGCCTCGTGTATATTAACCTGGTATCTTACAACCTTGCTATAATCATATTTTGTAGCCAATTTTCATTTGATAAATCAAAAACATTTCTCATGTCATTAAACATTCTTTTAAAATTTTTTTATTAGTGGCTATAGAATTATTCATATAACAAATACTGAATGCCTTCTTTGAATTTGGTACTAGTAATACAGTGATGAATAAAAAACATAACCACACTAACACTGATTATGTCTGGATGTCAGAATTACCAATATTTATTTTCCTCTGAGTTCTTTTACGTATATATCAAATTTTCTACAAAGAAAATGCTAGGAAAGTGTCATTGACTAGATTTTTTCATTACTTATTTGATCAAATCTAAGATGCCATAAATTGTAAGATGCACAATTATTTCATATACCAAGAAAAAGTACAGCCAATTAAGCTGTGACATGTCATTGAAGGTTAGACATTTCCTAATTTCAGCAATGTTAAAATGATTAAATACATGAGTGTTTGATATATAACAAGCCTTTCTATGAAGGATTAGTAGCGGAGGACACTCTACATTTCTTATTCAAGGGCAAAATATATCTAAGATTGTTCGCACAATCTTAGAGCAAATTATTAAATAGATGGTTTGTGACCATTTGTTCACTTCAAAAGCAGTACTTAGCAACACTAGTAGTCAATACCAGTTCTGTCCAAACAAGTCATACCAAAAGAACATTTTTTTATAATAGGTCAGTAGAATATTAAATTTTTCTAGATATGTAATTGACACAAATTTGAAACTGACACAAGCTAACCTCAACAAGATGACTTAAAAAGAGGTAGATACTAGGTACTGCACTATACTGTTACTTAATGGTCAAAATATGAGAAGTGCAAATGAAAAACTCAAGGCTTTCAGATGACTAGCTCAATTTAAATAAGATAATGATGAGCCTGCTTAAAGTAATAAATTCTAGATAACACTGAAATGTAATAGGTTCTATTTTCTCTGCATTTACTCAGACTTCCCTGTAATACTGTGAAACGTCTAACACCTTTTTAAAAGGAATACTAGAAAAATAAAGTAGCTAGAAACATCAGCAGTAGAAATGAAGGAAACCTGAGTCTAGTTCTGATGCTGCTACCTAAGAGATGCTTAATTTGGGCATGCTATTTAAATTCTCCCAAACTAATATCCTCAGTTGTAAAATAAATACAATAGACTAGATTCTAAAATTTCTTTTGGCACTAAATTCTAGGAATCACATCCTAAAACCTTAAAAACCTTTCTTAAACATCTAATAGATGATTTCTAATTTTTCAACCCTCCTATTTATCCTGTAACTAAAGAAACAATAACAATAGATTTAAGAATGTAGGCATAGAAGAAGCAGCAGAGTGGTGAAGAAAACTGACCTGGGAGTCAGCCTGCCTGGGCTTGAATTCTATAGCTCTGCCATTTACAAACGACCTTAGGCATCCATCATGCCATCTAATTTGTTGACATATTTCAAAGTAAACTGCAGACATCAGTATTTACCCCTAAATACTTCAGCATCCTATTACTTAAATAAGTGCTACTTGAGCCCTTTTCCCAGCCCACAGCTCCCATCTGGCAGCCCTGCCATGATGCTACAACTTCTATGGTACCTCTAACACCTACCTATTTCTCCCAAGCAAAAGGGCAAGTCCAGGCTAACAGCTACAACACATCAGAAAGCCTAAATTACATAGTAGTACAGTGTAATAGTGTAATATGATAACTAAGAATACAGCCTTGGAGGCAAATGCCTGAATGGCTTAAGTTGCTCCTTTGGATTTTAAACATACCTTAAAATTTTTATCATTAATTAATCTACTAATAGTATGCGGGAGAGTGTAAACTAATCTAGGGGATAAAAACCCAAGCACTACAAGCGCAGTGGGCGCGGAGGTACCACCGCCCCCAGTCACCTCTCTCGGAGGCCACCCCACCACAAACGTAACCCCACTGCGGACTCCGGACAACTGTCCGGGAAGCAGCCAGGCGTCCTTCACTCTTCAGATCGCGTCCCGGGGCCCACAGGACACGGACCGCGGACGCTCCGCCCCCTCCCTTCGCTCCTGTTTTGCAGTCCTGCTCCGGCGCCTCTCTCCGCTTTGTCGCCAACGAGCCTAACAGGTTTTCGCAGCCTCCCAAGCCTCCCTCTCCAAGGACCAACCGAGTAGGAGACGACAGGAGCCACGCATCGAGGGAGGAGGAACTGGCGTAGACAGAGATCCTGTCACCACCAGAGGAGCTCAAGGCTCCCGCCTCCGCGTAGCCAACTGCGACGAGCTTTCCGCGCGTGCGCACCAGCTCTCCGCCGCTGCTCCTCGTCCACCTCTCTGATTGGACGAATTCGCCACATCACTGCGCATGCCCCTTTGCGTTTCTTCTTAAGCGTTTCCGAGTTTTAATTCAGATTTATGGTTCAATGGAAAAAGTGTTTTATTTGGTCTCTACAGCCAAACATGACGTAGATGCTGAAGCTACAGGCCCCAAGACAAATGACACATACTTCTTAAACCTTAGAATACGTGGATGTGTTCATGCACTTTGGTGGCCTGCATAGCTGTAAATGTTTACTTTGAAAAATAATACGTAAATATAATGGATTTTACCATAAAGCTCTTAAATTATGCTGCATTTTAGGGCTGAAGTTACTTCAAAAATTTTATTAAAATAACATATCCCTTTAAAGTACCTGGCCCAAATAAGCAAACTGACATTTTTTAAGCGGTACACATTTTAATATGGTGACAAGGTAGAGAAATACATAGGTCATGGGCCTTTTAATATAAAAGTCTCACCAAAACAGGGCACCATCTGTAGTATCTAGGAAAATACTCGTTTGAACAAAACACTTAAAAAGTGTATGAAGTGTTCATTAAACAGCCTGCTTTTCAAAATTGATTAACCATAAAAATATGTGAAGAATTAGGGAATATTAAATTTTACCAAAGTATAGTAGAGGAACTATCACTTTTAATATACTAAATTATTTTAAATGTTGGATTTTAACTCTTGACAAAAGTAGTGTTTCAAACAAAGCTGTTATATAACAGCAGAAGTTTCTCTGTTTTATAAGTTAGGGTTAGTTTTCTATAGTAAGGATAAGAATAAACAGCAAAATTATGACTGTTATGCATAATCACACTTCTACAACATAGCAACTAGATGATTTTCTTTGAAACAGCACATTTCAAGCGAGCTACTTTAATTTTAGGAATAGTCTGTGAGAAGGGGAAGAAATCAACCTTTTTTTAAAATAAAAATTATCATCTTCATGGAACAGAATAGAGAGCTCAGATATAAGCGCACACATATATGTCCAATTAATATACGGTAAAGGACCATGAATATACAATGTGAAAATGAGAGCCTCTTCAACAACAGGTAGTGGCAAAACTGGGCAGCTACAGGTAAGAGAATGAAACTGGATTATTCTCTAACTCCATACACAAAAGTAAACTCAAAATGGATAAAAGACCTGAATGTAAGTCCTGACACCATAAAACTCTCAGAAAAAAAAGATAAACTAAAATCTCTTGAATATAAACATGAGCAACTTTTTCCTGAACACATCTCCTTGGACAAGGGAAACAAAAGCAAAAATGAACAAGTGGGACTACATCAAACTAAAAAGCTTCTGCACAACAAAGGACACCATCAGTAGAACCAAAAGTCATCCTACAGTATGGGAGAATATATTCGAAAATGACATATCCAACAAGGGGTTAACATCCAAAATATATAAAGAGCTCACAAGCCTTAACACCCAAAAAGAAAATAACCTGATCAAAAAATGGGCAGAGGATCTGAACAGACACTTCTCCAAACAAGAAATTCAGATGGCCAATAGGCACATGAAAAAGATGCTCCACATCACTAATCATCAGGGAAATGCAAATTAAAACCGCAATGAGATATCACCTCACACCAGTTAGGATGGCCAACATCCAAAAGACAAGGAACAATAAATGCTTGCAAGGATGAGGAGAAAGGGAAACCTCATACACTGTTGGTGAGAATGTAAATTAGTTCAACCATTGTGGAAAGCAGTATGGAAGTTCCTGAAACAGTAAAAATAGAAATACCATTTGACCCAGGAATTCCACCCCTAGGAAGTTACCAGAAGAAAACAAGATCCCTGATTCAGAGAGACATATGCACTCCTATGTTTATCACAGCACTATTTACAATAGCCAAGAAATGGAAGCAACCTAAATGTCCATCAGTAGATGAATGGATAAAGAAAATGTGGTACATATACACAATGGAATATTATTCAGCCATAAGAAAACAAATCCTACCATTTGCAACAACATGGATGGAGCTCGAGGGTAGTATGCTCAGTGAAATAAGCCAAGTGGAGAAAGACAAGTACCAAGTGATTACCCTCATTTGTGGAGTATAACAACAAAGCAAAACTGAAGGAACAAAACAGCAGCAGACTCACAGGCTCCAAGAAGGGACTACTGGTTACCAAAGGGAAGGGGGTGGGAAAGGTGTGTGGGGAGGGAGGGAGAAGGGGATTAAAGGGCATTATGATTAACATAGGGTAGGTGGGTCACGGGGAAGGCAGTATAGCACAGAGAAGGTAAGTAGTGACTCTATAGTATCTTTCTACACTGATGGACGGTGACTGCAATAGGGTGTGTCAGGGGTACTTGATAATATGGATGAATGTAGTAACCACAATGTTGCTCATGTGAAACCTTCATAAGATTGTCTATCAATGATACCTTAAAAAAATAAACAAAAATAAATAATAAAAATTACCATCATGAAATATGTTATTTTATGATATTAAATAAAGATGGGATAGGAATATTCCTGTCATTTTAGGCAGAAACAATACTATTTATCTTCACAAGTGTTGACAAGGATGTGGAGAAAAGGGAGCCCTCCTAGACTGTTGGTGGGACTGCAAATGGGTCCAACTGCTTTGAAAAGCATTATGGAGGTTCCTCAAAAAAATAAGAATAGAAATACCATATGATACAGCAATTCCACTTCTGGGAATTTACCTGAAGAAAACAAAATCACTGATTTGAAAAGAAATATGCACTCCTATGTTTATTGCTGTGTTATTTACAGTAGCCAAGATAGGGAAGCAACTGAAGTATCCATCAATAGATGAATGGATAAAGAAGATGTGGTACCTATATACATGGAATATTATTCAGCTGTAAAAAAAGAAAATAAAGAAATCTTGCCATCTACCACACGTATGGACCTCAAGGGTATTATGCTAAGTGAAATAAGTCAGGTAGAGAAACAATGTGGAATCTAAAAAAATGAAACAAGTGAATAAAACAGAAATAAACTCAGACACAGAGAGAAGACTGGTTGTTACAATGGGGGAGGGGTTGGGGTAGGTGGGTAAATTAAATGAATGGATAAAGAGGCACAAAATCTCAATTACACTATAAATTAGTCACGGGGATGGAAGTACAACATAGAGAATATAGCCAATAATACTGTGATATCTTTCTGTGTTAAGAGATAGTAACTACATTGATTGGGATGAGCATTTAATAATGTATATAACTGTCAAAGCACTATGTTGTACACTTAAATCCAATGTAATATTGTATATATCAACTGTACTTCAATTAGAAAATACAACTATTTGTCAGTATTAACATAATTTATTCATAAATAAATGATTGGTAATTTTCTGCATTTCAATCACAAATTCTACCAGTGAGTTGAAATATCTTCATTCAGGCCACAACTATTGACAGCCAACTATGTGCCAGTCACAGCAGGTGCTGGGGGTATAGTAGTGGGTAAAACAGACAAAAATCCGTATCTTAACAGAACTTGCAATCTGATGGAGAAACAACTGATTTAAAAGATGAGTAAGTAAACTGTGTAGTGTTCATGAAAAGTGGTAAGGAGAAGAGTAAAGCAGAGATGAAGGGTACTGAAATTTTAGATTGGGTATCCAGGGAAGGTTTCCCTGAACAGAGGTCCTTTGGTAATAATGTACTTAGGGTCAGTAGGAACAGTGAGGTGGTGGTAACTGAAGCAGAGTGAGTTCAGAGAGCAGTAAATGAGGTCAAAGAAATATTAAGAGGGACAGGGGAGTCATGTAGAACTCTGGCTTTTATTCTGAAATGGGAGGCTATTAGAGGGTTTTGAGCTGAGCTAGGAGGCTATTACCATACTTCAGACAAGAGATAATGGTGGGTTGGCCTAGGGTGGCTGCAGCAGAAGTGATTAACAGTTGGAATCTAGAAGCCAGATCAGACGTCGAGTGTGAGAGAAAAATAGTATGTAAGGATGATTCTAAGGTTTTTGGCCTGAGAAGCTGGAAGCATGGAGTTGCCATCTATTGAGAAAGAGAAGATAGCAGAGGGGTAGTTATCATGGAGTGAATATCAAGAGATCAATTTAGGTATGTCAAATTTTAGGTACTTACTAAACATCTGGTGAAGATGTCAAGATGCAAATCTGTGGCATCACAGGAGAGATCTAAGTTGGAAATTTAGAGAAATCAACATGTAAAGCCATTACACTGAAGAGTGAATAGTTTTTGAAAAATCTTCATCTAGGCAATTATGTAGATGCCAATTATTTGGAAACAAATATTTTGGCAAACTTGAGTTCATTCCCTTTCCTTCTTTGATCATTAAATACTAATGTGTTAACACCACTAAATATTTTTTGTAAGGACTCCATATGCCTCATCCTCAAGTCAACATTAGAACTACTGGTGGTAAAAGTTTCTTAATTTTGAATTAACAACATTAATTTGTGATTATTGGTAATGTTAGGAACATTTCTTCTGGGGGCAGTGGAGTGGAGAAAAAGAATTTGGATACCTCCTTTCTGTGTGTTTACTTTCTTTTTTCAGCTTTGTTTATCCCAGTTGTCTCATAGCCACTGCATTTCAGTTCTGGGCAGCATGCTACTTTTTACTTTAACTCTACAATAAATATCTGTAATAACATTTTTCTTCTGATTCATACTCTCCTCCACACCATGTATATTCTGTGTTCTATTTTATATTTCAGAATATATGCAAAAAGAGAGGCCCAATGATGACTTAATTTGTTTCTATGACACAGTAAGGTAAGGATGGGGAAACCGTGATTAGCACCTAGCTTTTTTCATTTCTGATTTTTCTGCCTTTTCATTGAAATGAATTTTGGAGATAAATCATTGAACAGCTTTTTCAAATATCACATTAATGATGCAACTTTGGATAATATTTATTTTACATGACTGTGGCTTACAGGTGAATCCTGATTCCTTATTTAA